GTCCTTGGAGATGAGGAGCAGCAGCCAGCTGTCCCCACTCATGCTGTCTGCACTGCAGGGACCAGAACCACAGCAGCTCCATCCCCCGAGCCCGGCCTTCTGGGTTCCAGCCTTGGGCTGCTGGATGGGTGAGAAACAGACAGAGTGAGGCCACGCGCACGATGTGGCAGCAGCCTCAAGGTATCAGCCCCATCTCTGCCCTGAGCCAGGATTCCTGCATCTGTCACAGAGGGGTGACGGCAGCTGCTGGCTCCTGGGCACCGACCTTGCAATGACACCATCTCCTCACCACCCAGTGGCTGCCTCTGAATCCCCCTTGTCCTTGCAGCTGCCTGGCTCGTGTTCTGAAAGCAGTGCCGGGTTAAAGTCATTTTTTGTTTTTAGCTATAACCAAGACATGAACTGCCATTTTAGACTCATGTTACAAAGACAGAAATTTGAAAATGGATGTTTAGAAATGTTTATCACTATGTGATTTTGTTGCCTGTTGAAATAGTGTGTTAAATGAGGATTTTACAAAATAATGAAACTTAATTACAGTTTTCAATAAGTAGTCTCTCTTTACTCAACGTAGAACATTTTTACTATTAATAAATAAAAATATTTTCAAAATATTGTTTGATATTATTTTTTCTCTCTTTTGAAGACAGTCTCCCTACATAGCCCAGGCTGACCTCAAACTGGAGGCCATCCCCCTGCCTCAGCTTTCTGAGTGCTGGGACTACAGGTATGAACCACCATGCCTAGTTTATTGTTTCATTTTAAAAATATTCTTCATTTCTACTTTGTGCATGCTTTATACTGCACATACTATACTGGTTCAAGAGTACATGCACACAATTTAAAAATAAATACAAAGATCTCAAGGGGAGGTGCAAGACTTTCATGATGACGATGTACCATCAGCAAGCCAAGGAATCCCTGCTTTTGAATACGCGTGCATGGCACACTGCTGCTGGGAGGTCTGGCTCAACCTGTGTCACCTGACACTTGCCTAGAGTCCTAGAGTCCTGCAAGCACGGCTGGGTGGCAGACACTGCCAACAACTGGACCTGGGAGTTAATTTGGGCCCAGAACAGGCCCGAAACACTCTTCAGCCCCAGAGTCAGAGGACAGCATCTGGGTGGCCTCATCTCATGGTTCGGGTGGAGGCAGGCAGTGTTTCTCTAGTCTAAATATGGGCATCACTTGCTGGGCCTGATGGTGCACATCTATAATCCCAGCACTCGAGAGGCTGAGGCAAGAGGGTCACTGTGATTTCGAGGCCAGTCTGGGGTACATAGCAAAACTCTGTCTCAACCAATCAATAAAATATGGGCGTTGGTGGGCTCACAAAGCAGCTCGGCCCAAGCCTACCCCAGCTTTGCTTTTTCCGTAGCACAAACCACTGCTCACCAGGGTGTGTTCCATGCTCTACCTGATTGCTAACTGGTCCCCTACTCCGGAATGGAAGAGTCTAGGCAGCTTAACCTACTCTTCTGGTTTTTGTTTCCCAAGCACCAGATCAAGGGCCAGAGTCACAGAAGGTACTCAATAAAATTCACGGAATGATACATACTCACTTTTCCAGCTGCCCTAAAGCCAGCTGGGGGCCTGTGGCCCAGGCTGGGATACCCAGAAACCCCCACCCCAAATGTGGCTTGCAGCTAATGGCTTAGGTCCACCCACTGTCATGCTGTCTAGATGTGCTCCCAAAGCTTCTAAGGACTTGCCGTTAGGCCTATCAAACAGGTTGACGGAGGAATATTTCTTTCCACCCTTCTCCTTGGCAGTCAGGAAGGTCATTGAGCATGGTGGGTCCTGCAGGTACCTCCCTAAAACGTGCTGGAACCTGGCTGGGTGCACTGGGTGCCAGGACAGGGTTCAGTGACTCCAAGGGTGATGGTGGTGGGACGTGGGCAATGACACCAGTTTTGGTTCCTCCCATTTCCCTGCTCACTCAGCGGCTAGGCTCCCACTAAGGCCCTCGCCCTGCAACGGAAGCCCCAGTGCTCCCCACCCGCCTCCTCCGCAAAGCCTCATGCTGGCATAGGTGGGGTTTCTTCAGAAGTGGCTGGATCTAGAGTGTGTGATACTGGGATTGATTCATGGTGCAGTGCTAGAATCAAGCATGATGGGATTAAGGGTGGGTGATTACTAAATCAGTCCACCGAAGGGATTGGCACTGCCCTAATGCTGATAGCCTGGATACAATATAAAGGCTCCTTTTGCCTCTCGCTTGCTTTGCTGCCTTCTGCCCACCATGAACTGTTTCTCCTCTGTGATGCCTGTCTGCAATGCCACCCTGCCTTGGAGCCAGCCAATGATGGCCTGAAACCTGTACAAACTGAATTAAATAAACCTTTCCTCCTTTAACTGTGGGTGTTAGGTTTTTTGTCTCAGTAATGAGAAAAAGTGACTAAGACACTCACAGAGCACAGGTGGAACAGACAGCAGCCAGCTTACACCACAGTCCTGAGTGGCAGCTTGATCGCTGGCAGTGGCGCTGTGTCTGTGGTGACTGCATCTGGGGATGTTTTCAGTGGACTAGATCTGCACAGGATTCTGGGTGAGGCTCTGGGCTGTGTAGTTTCCAAGCCTCATCACTCACCCTTCCAGAAAGTTCTGTGGGGCACATGGCATCCTTGTAATAAAATCTTTCCTGCTATAAATACTTTTTCTTGCTGCGTTTTTGAAACAGGGTCTAGCTATGTAACTCAGGCTAGCCTTGAACTATGTGGCTCCTCCTGCCTCAGCCTTCTGAGGGCTGGGTTCAGAGACCTGGGCCACCACACTCAGCTAGTTTTAAAATTTTAATTGGCTTTGGAGTTATATGACCCAGGGTCAAATACTAGCTTCACCATTGAGAAATTAGTAATACTGGCTAAGTCATGCAACTGTTGCAACCTTCGTGAGTAAAAAGCCAAGTTAGTTGTTTTTGTTTATTAAACAGGGTCTCACTATGTAGTTCAGGCTGGCCTTACCCTCACTACATGGCCCAGTCTGGCCTTGAACTCACGGCTATCCTCCTGCCTCAGCCTCCTGACTGCTAGGATTACAGATGTGCTGCACTACACTGGGCTCCTGAGTTATTTTTGTCTGTTAGCAATTAAAATGTAGAGCATTTCCTCGAAAAAAATCTGAATTTACAACTTCTCTGAGAACATCTCAGAAGTTGTGGCAAAACTGCAACCACATTTCTACCTGGCAACAATGAGGTTATTTACTTATTTATTTGAGATAGGATTTCACTATGTAGTTCAGCCTGGCCTTGAACATACTATGTAGCCCAGGTTGGTCTCAAATTAGCAATGGTCAGCCTCCCAAATGCTGGGACTACAGGTGTGCACCACTACATTCAGTTTGGTTGTTTGTTTTTGTCTTTTTTCAGACAAGGTCTTGCTATGTAGTTCAGGCTGGCCTGGAGCTCACTTTGTAGCTCAGGCTGGTCTTGAACTTGCAACCATCCTCCTGCCTCAGCCTCGCCAGTGCTGGGATTACAGGCATGCACCATCACACCTGGCTGATGTAGGGTTTTGAGTTTATATCCTAACTCTAACCATAGCCCCAGTCCTAGCCCTACCCCTAAACATGGTGGAACCCTAACACTAAATCTCTCACCCTAGTCTGAGACCCAGCCTTAAGGTTAGGGGTAGGTCTAGGGCTAGGGCAGGAGTTAGGGTTAGTTTTATGCCTAGGGTTAGGGCTAATGTTACGCTTTAGGTTAGTGCTAAAGCTAGATCTAAGTATAGGAATAGGGTTAGGGTTTTGGTTATTGTTATGTTTAGGGTGACAGGTTTAGATGAGGGTTAGGGTTTGGGTTAGTGCTAGTGTTACTGTTAGGCTTAGGCCTAGGGTTGGGCCAGGATTAGGGTGAAGATTTAGGGTTAGAGTTAAGGTTATGGTAAGACTACGACTAGGGTTAGGGTTAAACTCAGAGTTAGAGTTTGGGCTTGGGTTAGGGTTTGTGGTAAACTTAGGGCTAAGGCCAGAGTGAGGGTGAGTTTAGGATTAGGTCCAGGGTTAAGATTAGTGATATAACTAGTGATAGATACAACTAGCATTAGGGTTAGGTTGAGGATTAGGGTTAGGATTAAAGAGTGAGGCATGGTGATACAGACCTGTAATCCCACCACTGGGGAGGCAGAGGCAGGAGGATCACTGAATTCAAGGCCAGGCTGACTTACACAGTAAGTTCTGATCTCAAAAAACAAAATCAACCTCTCCAAACAAAGCCAGATTTTCCAGTTTTTCTTCAGGAAAATGTAGTCTCTTAACTGTCAACAATCAGGAAGGTGAGGAGATGGCACCCCAGGCAGTGGGCTGGGTGCTCTCCAGTCACCAGGTCTCCTGTCACACGGGCTTTTAGCATCACTGAGCCCCTAACGTCCCATCGGTGTTCATCATTTCTGCACAGTAGTTTAGGTCAGGTGGCCATGGGACCTCAGAGTCATTTGTCCTGACTGTCCTTCCAGGGAGTAGGCTTAAGAACAGACTCTGGCTAGGTTCTGGCCTTCTTCGGCTTAACAAGATTCCAGTAAGATAAAGGAAGCAGAAAACAGCGCACAATGAGTTTTCTGTGAGGAGCAAATACAGAGGAAAAGGTGACCGGAGGAGATGAGCTTAATCACTTTAACCTGTCACATTATCCACTGGGACTAGAACAATGCTTAACTGCAACTTCGGAACAAGTCAAAGCTCCGAGAGAAAACAGTGACGTGAACTCGAATGGTGAGGTTATAGAGGAACATGCATTCAATGGCGGGGAAGAGAGAAGAGATACTTGCTCTGATACCGGAGCCGACTGTGACAAGGAATTAACGGTGAGAGATAAAGGTTGAAATATAAAGGGGTCAAGCAGAGCATGGTGGTGGTGCATGCCTGAAACACCAGCACTTGGGAGGCTGAGGCAGGAGGATCACATGGAGTTTAAAGCCCGCGTGGGATACACAGCGAGACCCTGTCTCAAAAAAGGAGGTCAATTTAGGCGGATCCACTATGTCGGGTAGACTGGACCTCACCTTGGGGACACTGGAGTCACTTAGAGATTTTAAGCAAAGGGAAAGGTCACTGAGGCTCAGAAGTGACTTGTTTGCATATACAGTAAGATTCAGAATCAGAAAACGAACTAACCCCACAGTACTTGTAATCCCTAATGAGTTAATTACAATTTCCCGTGGTCCAAAGTTTATTGCTGACCCGCCGATCGCGTGCGCTTCTGCCACACCTCGGATCCCGCGGAAATGGCCTCCACGCTGCAACCGGAAACAGAAACTGATCGCTGCGGACGCCGCCTAACGGCCGGTGGGAGCGAAACTAAGTCCGGAAGGTCGCCACACCGGAAGGGGCCAGGCCATTTCCGGTAACAACCTGACCGAGCGAAGCCTCAGAGGACAAATCTCCAAAGCCCGGCCAGTTGCCCAGAGCGCTCGGCTCCGCGACATCGGGTGCGCGCTTTTGCGCGGGCGCGGAGCTATGGCGCAGGCGCACGAAAAGTCGTGCGCGTGCCCGCTCAGCGTCCCCTACAGCGGTCCTGTTTGCAGGGTAAAAGCCTTCAGCGCTGGAACGCAGGCTTTCGGTCTCTGAACTACAATTCCCAGCATGCTTGCCCCTCATGTCGCTGCTAGGTGTGGTTTCCCAGGATAGGATAAAAAGCTTAAAAGACGATGACGCACCAGAAAGAAAAAGCTGAACAAGCTGCTTAAGCAGGCCACTTGCAGAAGCCCCAGTGGCCTAATGGATAAGGCATTGGCCTCCTAAGCCAGGGATTGTGGGTTCGAGTCCCATCTGGGGTGGCTGTATTTTTCTAATTCTAAACACTTTCTCCCTTATGCTATTGTACACAAGTGTTGCCCACTTGATTTTACTTTTTTTTGAACAGGAAGAGTGCACTGTGGTTTTACTAGTTCTTGGGCTGCTGTTTGAGAGAACCAGGACACTCCGTTTCCTTCTAGCCGCAGTCTCCACCAGTCTTTTCGGAAGTCGGTCAATGTGTTGGACACCGACAGCCCTTCTAGAAACCGTTTTAAAATATCTTCATGACGTGTGTTACAACGAACCCCCACCGATTCCCGCAGGCCCGAGTCTCCCGAGACTCGGCCGTTGGGCAGTCACGGCGTCTTGCGTGATCCGGACCGGGAAGGGCCTGCTTCTCCCCGGCTTCTCTCCGGCACCGGCGACACTCGGCTTTCTACTGCTTCCCCTTAATCCGTCGGGGCGCGCTCGGCGTTCGATTCCTGCGGCTGCGCCAATCCAGGAAGTGCGCGTCCCACTGCCGGCCAATGCGTGGCAGTCCTAGGACCTTGGCCTTTTTCGTCCCTTCCGGCGCCCGGGGCCGACCGCACGGGGACGCGACTGGCGAAGGGGAGAGAGGACGTTAGAGGCGCGGGCGCCGCCGGGAGGCAGGCTCTGGAAGGGCTGGAAAATGGCGGCCTTAGGGTCCCCGGCGCGCACTTTGCGAGGCCTTCTGCGGGAGCTGCGCCACCTGAACGCGGCCACCGGGCGACCCTATCGCGACACCGCGGCCTATCGGTACCTCATGAAGGCTTTCCGTGCTCATCGGGTACGGAAGGCGCCCCGGGAGCGCCGCATCCCCGTAGGGGGCCGGGGGGCTGGGCGGGGGCAAGGAGCAGGGTCCTAGGGCTGCCTCGGAGACCAGCCTTCTGCCAGGCCGGCCCCCACTGTAGAAATGGCCTGGGGACGGGCCCAACCTCCGGCCGAGGCCCGGGCTATGAAGGACGGGCGGCAGCGTGGCCCTTGGGGCCGCGGTTTCTGCTGGGCGGGGGGCGTTCTGGAGCGTCTCATTGGCTGGTTCAGTTGTTGGGAGGTGGGGCCTTTGAAGGAAGTGCGGCTGAGAAAAACGGAAGGGGCGTAGCCCTTGAAGTCCCACCCACTCGAGAAGCTGAGGCAGGAGGATTGGGAGTTCGAGGCCAGTTTGGGCAATTTAACGAACCCCTTTCTCCAAATAAACATTATAAATTTTTCTGTGAGTTTTTTATTTATCACTGAAGAAAGTAAACACACCAGCAAGTTCTTTGTTGGCTTCAGTACAATTAAGTACTTAATCTTTAACATAGGGCTAGGGGTATAGCTCAGTGGCATAAGCGATTGGCCCGCAAGCCTGAGGTCATGGGTTCGATTCCCGGTACAAAAAAAAAAAAATCTTTAACTACTACCCCACAAAGTCGACACAGTCATTACTACAAATTACCAGCTGAAAGACTATCCTCAAGGAAAGAAAATTAGGAAAAAGAATTTGAACAATTTCTCCAAACCACATTTATAAATATTGTCATATTTTAAATGCATGAAAGCCATGAATTCTGCATAAATGGGAAGCAGTTTTCTATTGGCAACAGAAAAAACAGCAATAACTTACCAAAAGTCTTAAATGTAAAAGCTGTATTGTTTCAGGGTTTGCGCTTGAGCAGAATTGTCATTCTAATAGACTGAATCTGCTTTATGCTCACCTCTGCTAAAAGGCGAGGGGCGGGGTGAAGCTCAGCGTTTGCCTAGAACGAACAGGCTCTGGGCTCCGTCTCTAGTACTGCCAAGTGTGTGTGTGTTGCACAGATACAAATGCTGGTGAAAGGTGTAGTGACCTACAGTTAAAGTCATAGAACCTACCCAGCCCACACCTTCCCCTTCCCCTAGTAGAAGTACTTGTGTAACAGATAAATAAAACTATGTGGGAGGCCTGCCTTGGGAAATACCTTACTCAAATGTACATTCCATATTGCCCTTAGGTGAGTGGAAGAGCTTGTTTCTTTTGTTCTTTCGTTCTTTCGTTCTTTCCCTCCCTCTTTCCCATCCTTTCTTTCTTTTGGATTTTTTGAGACAGGGTCTGGATATGTAGTTCAGGTTGGCCTTGAACTCACTATATAACCCAGGTTGGGCTCGAACTTGCAGCCATCTACCTGCCTCAGCCTCCCCAGTGCTAGGATTACAGGTGTGAAGCACCACAACCGGCAAGAGTTTCAATTTTGAAATGGGACAGCTTAAGCTCAGGGATAGCAGGAGGTTACCTGTACAAGAATAGCACACAAATCTCAGTAATCCCAGCACTTTGGGAAGCTGAGGCAGGAGGTTTGCAATTTCTAGACCAGCTTGTGCAATTTAGCGACTTAGAGAAACCCTGTTTAAAGAAGAAAACAGAACAACTGGAAACAACTAGAATTTAGTTCTTTGGTGCCCAAATAGGCACTTTATTGCTGGGTTCGGAGTTAGGGATTCAGCGTGGGGGAAGTTGCGACCATGTCTCAAAGAGTGTAGAATTTAGTTCGTTGGTTTTTTTTTAGAAGTTAGTTGTTCCGTTTTGTTTTTGGTACTGGGAATCAAACTCAGAACCTTGCATTTGCCTAGAAGTTAGTTTTTAAGAGGTCACAGTGTTAAGGTCTGCGCCAAGAACTTGGTCTAAATCCCAAAAGTAAGATGCAGTTGGGTCTTACGTTTTGTTTTGTTTTATCTTGTCTTTTTGAGACAGGGTCTCACTATGCAGTTCAGGCTGGCCTTGAGCTCACTTTGTAGCCCACGCTGGCCTTAAACTCGCAATAGTCCTGCCTCAGCCTCCCGAGTGCTGGGATTACAGAAGTTTAAAAATACAAAAAAGTTCATTTAGAGCAGCAAATGCGTGTCAGTTTCACATATGAAAGCACACATTACAATTTTTGTATTCTAACCCTACCCACTCAAAAGAGAAAAATCTAGAGGCAATGGACTAATCCCCACGTCTCCTATCTATGTGCATATCCCCACTGCTCTGAACACTTTCTCCTAAAGTTAGAATGGAAATGTCACGTCTGGGGACGGAGCACCACCTCTTTGCCCTCAGAGCCCATGTAACTCAGCCCCAGGAAAACAATGAGAACAAAGTTTAGCCTCTTTATTTGTAAGGAGAAAAAGGACGGGAGAGCAGAAGATATGATAGCTGGTTTTTTCTTCCCAGCTGCTTTCATGGGGGCAGTGGTGAGTGAATCCCTCCCACCCAGAACTTGCCTTTGCGCTGCACCTCTGCCTAACATCATTTCTTCCCGTGGTCTACACCCAGCTTCTGTCTATTTACTTGTCCCTGACCTACCTCACTACGCAGTTCAAGCTGGCCTTGAGCTCACTTTGTAGCCCAGGCTGGTCTCAAACTCACAAAGATCCTCCTGCCTCAGCCTCTTGAGTGCTGGGATTACAGGCATGCGCCGCCATGCCTGGCTTCTGATCTACCTTTCAAGGCCTTAGGATGTGTGTGTGCCTTGTTCTTGGTTAGCTTAGAGTTAGTAAGGGCCTGTGGATAGCTATTGTACTCCATAATGACCCTAGAGGGAGTAACATAGTGACGGTAGTGTGAACACACACGTATACGTGTATGTGTTAGTGCACAGGTGTGAGTACATCCTGCCTTAATAAAGGTAGCCCTCCCTTGCTTCCCCTGTACTTTATTGCAGGTGGGGCGGCTCATTGCATGTGCACGTGGCTTCCCTCTGTCCTGCCTGGCAATGGACTAATCCCCACGTCTCCTATCTATGCACCTATCCCCACTGCTCTGAACACTTTCTCATAAAGTTAGAGTGGAACTCTGTCCTCTGTCCTCCCAAGGCCATTTGGTGCCTTTCTTTATCTGTGTTTTTTTTTTTCTTTTGTTCTACCTCGTCTATGACCTGCTTCCAGGGGAATCTCTAGAAGTTTGTTTTTAACTCCTACTCAGGCTTTGCCAGAAGACCTAAGGAGGACTATTGTATTTTCTCTCTGCAGACCCCTGCCTCTACATGTGCACCTATCCCCACGGCGTCCACCCCTTCCTCACAGCCTCAGCACTCAGAACAAGTTAAGTGAAGCACAGTGTATCACAGTTAATCTTGAAATTAAGTGTGCTGAAAAGAAAGCAAGATTTAGTCATGGGGGCTTTGGAATGGATACAATGTCCAGCTTTTCAATAAGTTATTAGAATTGCAAATTTTCCAGGTGGATAAGTTATTAAGAGCAAATTTCTATGGTACGAGCATATGTATATTATTTTATATATAAAACCTTTTTCTTTTGTTATTATTGAGGACAAAGGTATTATTTTCAGAGAAAATAAATTTCTCAGGAGGGTTCTTGGTAAGGCCCTGGTATCAAGTAAAAAAAAAAAAAGTTTAGATTTTGAAATGAAAGGTATATACCACATTAACCAAAGTCATAAACAAAATAAGGCCACGCCTAATTTTATTTATTTATTTATTTATTTATTTATTTGTCTTTTTGAGACAGGGTCTTGCTTGCAGTTCAGGCTGGCCTTGAGCTCACTTTGTAGCTCGGGCTGGTGTAGAACTCACAATGATCCTCCTGCCTCAGCCTCCCGAGTGCTGGGATTACAGGTGTGCACCACCATGCCTTGCGATTTTTTAAAAACAAGGTCTAGCTATGTAGTCTAGCTGTGTATTTCAGACTTTGTTGCCCAGACTAGTCTGTAACTTGCAGTGATCCTCCTGCCTCAGCCTTCTAAATCCTGGGATGACAGGTATGGGCCACCTTACCTAGCACTTACCCTTAATTTTTGAAGGGGAGAAAGTTCTATATTATACTCCTCAGATGACTGTAATGATAGGTGACTTGATTATAATAGTTCTCATCTCTACCATTAACTACTGAGATTTAGTTTTTTGATATGTGAAATAAAGGTGTTAAAACAAGAGGATGTCTCGTAGTATTAAAATTTACAGACAGTCAGTGAAGTACTTCTTAAAAATTCTCTTTAGCTAGGTGGGGTGGTGCACTCCTGTAACCTCAGCTCTAAGGAGGTTGAAGCAGGAGGATTGCATGGAGTTCAACACCACCCTGAACTACAAAGAGAGACCCTGTCTCCAAAAAAAAAAATAACCTCTTTCCTGGACCTGATGCAGTGCTTCTATGGTCCCAGCTACTCAAGAGCCAAAGGCAAGAAGATTCCATGAGTCTAGGAGTTCAGTGCCAGCCTAAGTAACAGCAGGACCCCCATGTCCCACCCCCCCAGAAAAAAAGAAGCTGGGTGTAGTGCTGCACACACACCTGTAGCCCTAGCAGTCTGAAAGACTGAGAATGGAGGATGGCAGATTTGAGCCCAGCCTGGAGAATTTAGCAACTTATTGAGACCCTGTCTGAAAATTCAAAAACTTGAAAAACGGCTGGGGATTGAAAAAGTAGCTTAGGGCGAAGGCTTAGGGTTCAATCCCAAGTATCAGGAAAAAGGCAAAAATTTCTTTGAGACTGAAGCTGTAGTTCAGTGATACAGCTCTTGGCAAACACTGGGGTTGGGTTCAATCCCTAGCAATAACAAACAACTCTTTTATTAATTAGAAGTCAACTTCTCTAATAAACAGAGTGCCTTTATAAATGAAATATACACACTCATGTTTATATTTTCTGTACAATTTACTTTTAACTCAGTGGTTTTTTGTTTGTTTGTTTGTCTTTTTGAGACAGGGTCTCTCTATGCAGTTCAGGCTGGCCTTGAGCTCTCTTTGTAGCCCAGGCTGGTCTCGAACTCATGACGATCCTCCTGCCTCAGCCTTCTGAGTGCTGGGATTACAGGTGTGTGCCACCACACCCGGCTTTGTACAACTTACTTTTAAGAGAAAGCTTGTTTATGAAATCTTTGCAGTTAAAAAGACAGACAGGAAAAGAAGGAAAAGGCTGTATTGGCAAGGATATGGAACAACTACAACTTGCATGTACTGCTGCTGTTGATATAAATGGATACAACTACAACCACTGTTTGGAGTATCTCCTGAAGTAGAATATATGCCTTTTATAAGTAGGTTTATGGAAAGGCATATGGCTGAGCCAGGACAGAAGAAATATAGGTAGAAAGGAGAAAAGGAACATCATAGCCAAAAACTACTTTTAAGAAGACTACAACTTCCAGGGTACAGTTGAAGTGACCCAGAGCAATCCCTATCAGCTTTCCCTGGGTTAATTAGGGCCCTCTCCTTCCAGAGCAATAGATTGGCTGATTGAGAAGTAGAGAGTAGGAACCTGTTCCTAGGACCAGGAGCAGGTTGAAAGAATTCAAATGCTTGAATTGTCCATCTTAAAACACAAACAGAAGCGAGGCTGGCATCTGTGAATGGGGCAGTACCCTCCTGCGGAGTGGGCAGCCTTTTCCTTGATTTGTACCTCCTCAAGAGAAGCACAAATGTGCCCGGTTCCAGGAAATGGCACGCCTCTCTCTTAGGGGCACACACGCTATTTCTTGGTGTGTATATTTTAAAAATTCTTCCAGAAAAATCTTTATGCCCCTTCAAAATCAGCGAATCTGTGGGCCTGTGGCTCTGGCTGGGGCGTTGACAGAGGGTGTCCTTGCTGCTTTCCTAGGTGACCAGTGAGAAGCTGTGCAGAGCCCAGCATGAGCTGCATTTCCAGGCGGCCACCTACCTGTGCCTCCTGCGCAGCGTCCGGGAGCACCTGGCCCTGCACCAGGAGTTCCACGGCAAGGGTGAGCGGTCGGTGGAGGAATCTGCAGGCTTGGTGGGTCTCCAGTTGCCCCGTCAGCCTGGAGGGAAGGGCTGGGAGCCGTGAGCATGGACAGATGCTTTGGATGCCACTGTCTGAGGAGAGTTTGATCATTTCTGCCAATATGTATTTATCATTAAATTTTTTTTTAAAGTTTAGGGTTTCTGTCTTGTCATCTTGTTGACTGAGTGATTAAGGGAATAAAGTGGAGGTTTCATCTTAACTGTCAGTGAGTTTGCCAGACTTCTTACCTAGAATTTATTGATGTCCTTGATGAACTTTCTTTGATTTGGGGTTTTGTTTTTTTTTTTTTTTGAGAAAGAGTTGTGCCATGTCATTCTTCCTTTTTTTTTTTGGTCTTTTTGAGAGAGGGTCTCACTACGTAGTTCAGGCTGGCCTTGAGCTCACTTTGTAGCCCAGTCTGGCCTCAAACTCACGACGATCTTCCTGCCTCAGCCTCCCAAGAGCTGGGATTACAGGTGTGCGCCACCATGCCTGGCTTTGTGTCGTTCTTTTTTTTCTTTTTGTCTTTTTTTTTGTTTGTTTGTTTTTCTCTGGTACCAGGAATCGAACTCACGACCTTGTGCTTGCGAGGCAGGCACTTTGCCGCTGAGCTAAATCCCCAGCCCCATTTGCTTTTTTTTTTTTTTTTTTTTTTTTTTTTTTTGGCTTTTTGTCTTTTTGAGACAGGGTCTTTCTATGCTATTCAGGCTGGCCTTGAGCTCATTTTGTAGCCCAGGCTGGTCAAACTCTCAATGATCCTCCTGCCTCAGCCTCCCAAGTGCTGGGATTACAGGTATGTGCCACCACACCCAGCTACCAAGTCATTCTGACTGAAATCACTATGTAACCCAGGCTGATGCTGGAACTAGTGATCCTCCTATCTCTGCCTCCCAGAGTGCTAGAATTATAGCCATGTGCTGTCATGTCTAGTTTTGATCTACTTACAGAACTAAGCCAGGTGTGGTGGCACATGCCTGTAATCCCAGTACTCTGGGAGGCTGAGGCAGGAGGATTTTTGAATTTGATCCCAGCCTGGGCAGTTAAAAAAAAGAACCTGTCTCAAAATAAAAAAAGAGGGGCTGGGGATACAGCTCAGTGGCACAGCGCCTGCCTGGCAAGCATGAGGTTATAAATAGGATTCCCGGTACCCCAAAAAAAAAAGAAAAGAAAAGAAAGGAAAAAGCCGGGCATGGTGGTGCATGCCTGTAATCCCAGCACTTGGAGGCCACCAGACCAGGTGATTAAGTATGCATCGTCGACTGAACCGCTGAGCTAAAGCCAGCCCCAATCCCAGCACTTGGGAGGCTGAGGCAGGAGAATCATTGTGAGTTCAAAGCCAGCTTGAACTGCATAGGGAGACCCTGTCTCAAAAAGACAAAAGAACAAAAAAAGATCTGGAAATGTTCAATCCCTAGTACTATAATAAACAAACAAAATTAAATTATAAAAGTCTGCTTTAAGGAATTAAAATAGTACAAACATAAAATAAGGCCCAATTTGTTTTTCCTGTCCTTCCTGTTCCAATCCCCAGTGCAGGTCATCCACCATTACCAACGGGGTGATGTGCCTCTTCCCACATACTTCCTAAGCATATACAAACAATTACACCTGCATATATACAGACACGTGTAATTCTCGTATGCAAAGAAAAGAGTAAGCACACACACATACACATTCATACCTTATAAAAAAAATATAGAAATATTTTAAAAATTTAAAAAAAAAGAAATATGCTGGACATGGTGGGACACGCTTGTAATCTTAGCACTCGGGAGGCTGAGGCAGGACGATTGCTGTGAGTTTGAGGCCAGCCTAAACTACCTAGTGAAACCCTGTTTAAAACACAAATAAAACAAAACACAAATATGGTGTATTAAGGTCCTGGGAGGAAACACGAGGCAAACTCCAGTAGAGACACTGAGGAGAGAAAGGGATAGTAAAGGTGGGGATGGAATTCAGGTCAGGGCGGGAAGCTCCTAGGGGCTGATGACAGGCCTGACAAGCCTGCCCGTAGGCCCCAGAGCACAGCCACAGCGCAGCTGCAGCCCTCAGGGAGGACGTCCCAGGACTGGACCGGTAGGCACATTAACCTCTTCTGCCGCCAAGTCTCCTTGTGAAGTTGCTCTTCCCCAACCCTGGGTTTGGGTGAATGGTCCACTGTGCCGGCTAACCAAGCTCAAAACGGGTGGAGCCAGGGACGGTAGTGCACTCTTCGATGCTGAGGCAGGAAGATCGGAATTTGGAGCGCAACCTGGGGAATTCAGCTACTGAAGGAGAACCTGTTTAAAAAGAAAAAATGCCGCGTGTGGTGGCACACGCCTGTAATCCCAGCACTTGGGAGGCTGAGACAAGAGAATCACTGGGAGTTTGAGGCCAGTCTGGGCTATATAGCAAGACCCTTTCAAAAAAGCAAAACAAAAGGTAACAAAAAATCAAAAGGATTAGCTCAGTGTAAAGGCCTCGAGTTCAGTCCCCAGCAGAGCAAAACCAGCCAACCAATCGTGGGTGTCATTTGGATTCCTCTGCTCTCCCAGAGGAGCCTCTGCCCCTGCAGTAGCTCCCATCACCTCTTATCTTCTGCGCCTCTGCACTCATTCAAGCCCTGCCATTCTCCTGGCTGAACTCTATTAAAATAGACTCCTAATGCTCACTTTGCTTGAAATGTCCTCAGCCGTGAAGGGCAGGCGCCTCTATCCATGCCCCTGTGGGTGTATATGTCAGTGTTTTTTGGGAAGAGAAGACGTGTAACCTTCTAAGGATCATGTCTCATTCACCTTTATCATGCCCAAAGCACCTTCTAACCACACACTGAACAGCAGATCAGTGCTTTGCATGCGTGGGTGCACTCACTAGGAGGAGTATGACCTGAACAACAGAACTATTCATGAAACATTCAAAGCAGCATGTCTTCTAAGAGATTAACATTCAAATTATAGTATTAAGAAGGCAGCATTTATTGAATTGACCGGGTCAAAAAGCAAATGCTTCACACACTTTTTTTTTTTTTTGGTCGTTTTGAGACAGGATCTCACTATGCAATTCAGGCTGGTCTTGAACTCATTTTGTAGCCTAGGCTGGCCTCGAACTCACAACCATCCTCCTGTCTCAGCCTCAGTGCTGGGATTACAGATACGCGCCACCACACCTGGCTCTCACATATATTTTTGTTTCCTTCACAGCCATAGGCTTGTTATTAATATTATCTGAAGATATTTTACTTTCAGCACGAAAGGATTAGGACAGTTGTTTTGATTTCCTCTGTTGTTACAATGATGTATTACATACAGTACAATACATTATTTCTCATCATTTTATATATCTGCCTGTGGTGGTGCACGTCTGTAATCCCAGCATTCAGGAGGCTGAGGCAGGAGAATTGCTGCAAATTGAAAACCAGCCTGGGCTACAAAGTGAGCTCAAGGCCAGCTTGAACTGCATAGCAAGACCCTGTCTAAAATATATATATATATATATATATATAT